TTACAAAGAGCCCATGCCCATAAAAAAGGCGCTGCCATCAGAACTAAGGAAAAAAAGATTAGCAAATATATCCATGAAATATAAACAGTAATCAAAAAAGTTAAATAACAACATTGTAAAAACAGCACCTTCCACTTCGCCGAAAGCGATAGAGCTTCCTGTTTCCATCGGCAGAAACAGCCAACATCTCCGGCGTGCAGGCAGGGCAGATGAAAGGAGCACCACAGCAGAGCTGGTCTTCCTCATACGAGGCATAGGAGAACTCCAGAAAGCTGCGCTGCAGTGCATCTCCGTTGACAGGTCCAGACTGGAAGATAATTACATAATTGCTGTGATTTTGTCTATTTACGGAAATGTTATAATGTATAATATGGTAACGAATATTTATACTTACTCTTCCTCCACACTTTGTGCGATGCTCCAGCAGCTTTGCAAAGGCCTGTCTGGAGAATCCCGGAGAGATGACCTTGAGCTCTTCAAAGGAGCTCATGAGGTCCAAGGTGTAAAGTGTGGAAATACTGACCGAAGCTGGCCAGTATCCACTCTTAAGGAGGACTTTCAAGTCGGGGGTCCACTGCTGCTGGCAAGTTTGACAGACATATAGTGGCAGATGCAAGTCATAACGCCCTTGGAACAAGTAAATAAACATAATTAAGACACATTTTACAACAGTTCCATCTACAAATAGTCAAAGATTAACAGATATTACATGAAGGTTTTACTCCAATTGGAAGCACAATGCCTCAGCCCACAACAGTAAAAATATAACAACAATTCAATAGAAATCCAAATATATATATATATATTTGTTTACCATTGATGGTAATTAAAATCACTGGTTTGCCTGGTACCACAGTGAAGTTTTTGCCTTTACAGGAGCAGTTGGGTGCCTTCACAGTTGGCAATATGCAAGCTGTCAAAAAAAAAAAAAAAAGCACTAATTACCATTATCTGCTGGCCGAAGAGACATGTGAACATCAAAATGCAAGTTTGAGAGAGCATACCTTGGTCATGGGTGTCATATCCACCTTCCACTCTAACAACACACGTTGTTGGACTAATTGGTTTAAAAAACCCATTAATTAAACTGTCCCTGTTGTGGAGTGGCTGTTTCTTGTGATGAAGTACATCACAGTCTCCACAGAACCACTCCTCGGGGAGACACTCTCTACACCTTGGGAGGAAATACAAAATGATTATAATATCCTAGAATTACTTTCATTTTCATGTGGGTTTTCTCTAGGTATCCAGTTTTCTAACATCCCAAAAGTCATGCATGCTAGCTGAAATAGCAGAGCACTGAGCATTAATACTGAAAAATTACAATTAGGTAAAGTAATTTAAATAAAGGTAAATGTTATCTCACCTAATAACAGCCGGCTCGTGGCAGAGGCCACACAGGGGATGACCAACAGCCTCTTTTTCTAGAAGGCATTGTAGGTGGTGTGGTCTCGCTTCTTTCCAGCGCTCTGAGGCTTTCTGCTGCCGAAAAGACCAGGATGAGGCAGAGCTTCTTTGAGGCTCAGGAGGAGGACATGAGGAAAGAATGTCAGAGAGTCTCTCCATATTCTTTTCTGTGAACAGAATGGGAAACTTTAACTGTAAATGACTATATTTAAGATGAACACTAAAAATCAAGGATCATTTCTTTGCTCAGTATGGAACTGGCCAATATCTTTACTGAATTATTCCTCGTTCGAGTCCTGAACTGTCAGTTGTGTATAAGGTTATTTTCTCTCACTAACACAATTTATTTAAAAATTGATTTTAGTTTTAAACTTAAAGCCATTTTTGTGATTTACCAAATTCATGTTGTGCTGAAGGTTCAGTACGCAGAACCTCCACACTGGATGACTGGAAGCCCTCAGTCGGGGGGGATGTGACTGTAAAACATCACACAGAGGGTTAACAACAGATAACTGATGATTTGTATTATCTACCTATTGTTTAAAAGCTTGTGAAATTAAATAAAGCATAGTTCTTATGACACCACAGTGGGAATGTCTCCGACTGGAGTGTCACTATGCGTTTATATATTGGAATTATTGTAGACCCTCAACAAGCAATTACTGTGTTTTAATTAGATTTTCCAACCATTTACTTAGTAAATTCATAAAAATGTAAAATAATTGGGATTTCAACCTGTAGCTGAGCCTTGGCGTCGCCCTCCACGCCTCCCTCTCGGCTTGCCACGTCCTACACAGCCCCTTTTAGGGGACTGTAAAGTGTCTCCTACAGAGCGTGCCCGTTTCCTCTCCTCAGCTGCTTTCTGTGACCAAGTAACAACTCATGTAAGGTTGATGTTGCTGATAAACTGATACCATATGACAGTGGACAAATAAAAGGAAATTCATTCACTTGAAGAACATTTTTGCTTCAAGTTTTTCCTACCATATCCAACTAATGAAGTAAAACAAGTTGAACAAGCTTTATTTAGTAAGCCTCTGCCCCCCATGTTGTAATGATGAACTGTTTTGCAAAGGCCCTATTAGTCTAGTGGGTAGAAGGGGGTATCATGCACCCCCCTGAAATATACTTCTAATCAGCTTTTCTAGATTGGAAAAATTGTGTAGAAAACGATTAGCTATGTTAAAAAGTTGGCAAATTGTCCCACGTACATTTTTTTCCCAAATTAGTGTTTATTTACCCTAAAATCGAGTTTCACTCTTTTTACACCTTTCACTATATCTCAGCCATTATTGCAGATAACTGAACAAATAAGGTATCCAGATCCATGTTTTGAGGGTCAAGGAACACAATAAAACTATTCTTAAAGTGATCACATGTGTCTGTGGCATGCTATTATGCTAATTAGTGCCGCCATTACAAGAAAATAGCATTTTAGTCTTGTACCAAGAACGGTGTATTTGCACCGACACAGAAATATACTTATAATCAGTGTTTCCTAAGTGGAAAAAGTATGTAGAAAATGATGAGCTATGTTAAAATGTTGTCTGGATGTCCCACATGTATTTTTATGCAAATTAGTGTCACCATTACCAAAAACGGAATTTCACATTTTTCACTCTATCTCAGCCAATATTGCAGATAAATGAACAAATAATGTGTCTAGACCCATGTTTGATGGTCAAAGATCACAATACAACTATTCCCAAAGTGATCACATGTATCTGTGGCATGCTAGTATACAGCGCTGGCAGTAGTGAAAATTCCCGCCTTTTTCCCGCCAAAAACAAACAAGTAGCTGACTTGGCTACACACACACATTCAACCTTCAAACAAACAAGGTAAGTAGCTAACTCAACTAGACTCATGTGTTTTGTACGTTTTATATAGGTTTCTAGCTTAATTGTTGTTAACACATCATTTTGCAGCCCAAAGTAGGCTACACACTAGAACATGTGTTAGTGTTATTCTGCCCTGCAGAGGCTAACTGCAGTAAAATATGGTAAACTATTAGCTAGCTAACGTTAGCTAACTAACTAACAGTGACGTGAATGAGGGATAGCTAGTGGTGTAGCTTGTTGAATAAAGCTATTAGCTAGGTAGTGCTAGGTAGCTAGCTAGCTGTACAGCTAATGTTAATTAAAAAAAAGGCAGTAATTGTAATGCAAAACTGCAGGGCAGTATTCTTAACCCGTTAAGCCCCCGGTACCACAGCGTCCCAGGGCTTGTTACAATGTAACAACCTATTAACGTTGCATACCCACTTAACGGGAAGAAACTAAGCTAACAGATGATAATAACCATTTTAACCTAAACGAAACACAATTCCAACACCAAGCGTCTAAATCAGCACTTAACGAACGCTAACGCTAACGCCACATTAGGACATGACTGGCGATTTTTCTACTTCATGCTATCTGCATAAATGACATATCATATGAAAGCTGAGATTTATCAGATTCCATTGGTATAAGTCTCATCACTGTACGACAAAACTCACTGAATTAGCAGCCAGGAAAGAGGGTTTCCATCATTAAGGGGTAGTTTTCACTATAAATAGTGAAATAGGTTATAGGTTTTTTTAGGCGGAGATTAGAATATTTTTTTTTTACTATGTTTAATCTGAATTTACTCTGACACAGCAAGATCTATATTGATTCTGACACTTCTACAGCCAACTCACAGGTGTATCATTGCTTTGATAAAAAATATTATTCATATACCCCTTAGTTGTGAAGATATAATCATTCTGGGCATGTCATTTTTCGAGCCTGAGGCCTGGGCTTAACAGGTTAAACTGTGGAACATGATGGCTGCTCTCAGAACATCTGTTATAATTTTCAAAAGTTCTGATTGTATAACAGATTGTCTTTAGGCGCTTTCACACCGGAGAGTAATTTTCCCACAATAGTTCCGATGTAGTTCCGAAAAGTTGCGTTCACACCAAACAAAAAAAGAACTATATTGGGATGCTCACACGCCGCAAAATGTGTGGTTCTGGATATGCAGAGATTCTGTTTGAGGCATAACTAGTGACAAGTGGATCCCTCAAGAAGAAGAAGAAGAAGAAGAAGACACACTTTATTAATCCCTTACAGGGAAATGTTTCCCCACTCTGTTGTGTTAACACACATTACACACACAGGGGAGGATATACATGCACAAACACAGAGGATATACATGCACACACATAACCACATGCAGATAGGAGAGGTGGCAGAGCAGAGAGGCTGCCAGGTACCCGGCGTCAAAGGTGTTTTAAGTGGAAGGGTCACCTGGGAGACAGCTGCCTTATGGATGTCATTTATTAACCACTGTCATCTTGTCTTCATGCTACTCCACTCCGTTAAGACCAACAACATCCAGTTGTTTCACAAATGCAATGGAGAGATGGCAAATATCTTCTTTGCATTTGATGGACACAACTACTCAAGGTTTGTGCTATTTACATGACAATTTACCAAATTTGCATTATGAGACAAGCTTTGAAAATAAATGTTTCTATGTGTAATCTGTGCCTTTCCTTATCTGCAGATATCTGACTTGGCTGGAGGTCTATCTGACAAACCTGGAGAACACACACCCAGGGGCCAAAGACCTGCTTTCTAAGGGTGCAATTGCGGTGGCCCGCTCAATGATACCGGGGGCACTTATGGCGCATTTCCACTACAGCGCGGAGCTCGCTTTAAGCGTGCCGTGTCATGCCGTGCCCGTTTTTGGTTGCGCTTCCACTAGGCCTAGTTACGGCCCGGCCCGGCCCGGGGCCACTTTTTCACCTCTTTTCTGGCCCGACAAAATTGTGGTTCTATCGGGGCCAACAAACAGGGCTGAGTCGGGCTGAGTATGCTAAACTAGAGAGAGGAGCGCTGGCAAGGGGGCTACAACTACAACAAGATGGACATATTTGACCGTGATTTAATTGTAATACACGTTTCAAAATGATGCCGAAGTAACAACATACTGATACCGGTTAGTAAAAACCATGAATTAATGCTTTGTCAAGTCTGCAGACAGACGGCAGGCGAAAAACCTTTTAAAATGCGTGTTTTTCTAGATGGAGATTGGCTAAGCTAACGCAGTATATGCTCCGACCGTCCACACTCACAACAGCATGAAGTGAGTCGGCCCTGTTAAGGCCCAACGCGGCCAAGCCGTACCGAGCCGTATCGAGCGTGGCCGAGGCCGACCGTGTAGTGGAAATGCGCCATTAGTGCAGTCGACAAGACCATGGAGGAAACGTTCATGCGCTTTGCCAAATCATCAGGTACATTATGATTTTTACCCAGACATTGAACAGATATACAGACATTGTATCAAGATTATTATATTATATAATACAATTGTATACTGCTCTCACAAAACCACATTTTATTTGATGATTTCTGAATTAAAATGCATGTAACTTATTGTGTGGGAGCAGTAGATCACATATTTGTTTCATACTTTTAAGGTGGCTTCACTGGACTATACAGCCAGTTTGGGGCATACCAGAGGTGGTGTCGAACAACCTCCACACGGGCACAGTTTTATCAAAAGACCCTTGAGATGGTGGACCTCATCAAAGACCCAGACTGCCCAAGGGCGGGGAAACATCGGGAGCTGGAGAAGGCAGAGGTCAAAAAGGGTGAGGAGGCCATTCAGCGAACCATCGTGACAATTAGGAACCCCTTCACCATCTCAGACAAGGACAGGCTCTACTCCCTGGCTTCTGGTGCTCCTGTCCTCATGGAGGTCGAGATGGACGTGCTACAAGCAGAAACTGTGGGCAAGGGCTGCTAAAGCTGAGTGTCATCAAACGGCTACAGAGCAGAGAGCAGCTAGCTTCTCTGACCCAATCAAAAGAAGAAGCTCAAGACCATGGAAGCTTGTTAACAAAAAGGTCACCCTCACATCCTCACAGGGAAAGGTAATGAGATGTTCCAATACCCTGAGGTCTACTATATTATTGCAATTAATTTAATAACCTTTATTTTTTATTGTTGTGACCCCATATTTGTAATGATACACTATCAATCATTCCAGGTCATCCGTATCAGGAGCAAAGCAATCTTGCTTTCCTGCTCCTTGTCAAGTCACAACGTGCAGAGGACCCATGGACTTGGAGGAACTCATGAAATATCCCCTAATGCCTGTGCCCCTAGCCTTGGGGACACCAGATGGGTTTTTCTCCAAGACTAATAAGTGGCTCTTCTGCACTAATTCTGGAGGACCACACCCAAAGGATCTGCCATACCCTAAGGATGCCCTGTTCCATCCAGGATGGCATGGCTCTGCTCCATGTCCTCACCAACCTTCCCCCCAACATGTGGGGAGATATGCCTACAAGTGCTTGATCAGATGGTGGCCAAAAAGCACTTTTTGTTCTCGACTGACAGTTACCATCCAGGATCTATCAAAGCACAGGAGAGGTTGAGACGTGGCAGTTCAGAGAAGATCATTTTTGGCTGGACCAGCAACCAGGAAGCCATATGACTTCAAGATGTTTCTCACAAATGATGACAACAAAAAGCAACTCTGCCAGCTCCTGTGCGAGTTATGGAGTGATCAACAGGCAGCTTCAAGGCTGGAGAGAACAGAAATGTCAGTTGCTGATCGTGGAAGGGAGAGCCCATCAACTTCTCTCCTCAAACGGCAAGGTAAATTGAAAGCCCATATTAAAAGTGATTGATGGTTAAATTATACTCTAAGTGATTATCTGTGATTTGTGTCTAGTCTCTGTCATTGTTGATCAAAGTTGCAATATCCCATTGTGTATCAGGTTGAGGTACGTGAGCTCCCCACAATCTACAGCAACCAGGAAGAGACTGATACAAGGGTGGGTACTCTACCTTCATCATGCTGCTGCCCTTGGGTACAAGAATGCTGTAGTCAGAACACCTGACACAGATATCTTTGTGATTCTTCTTTACCACGCTCATGCCATCAG